TTGTTTATGAATTTCCGGGTAACGATATGTTTTAGTGAAAATCGGTGTTTCTGATGTTAGATTGATTTTATGTTTGACTTGGTTCGTAAAAGTTAGTGGAGTACCTTCACAGTAAAAGATGTCTCTGTATTGATAGCATAAATCACCAATTAATTTGTATTCTTCCTTATTACAATGATCTAGACGTAAGTTTTTTAGATTTTCCTTTTGTTTATTGTCCCAATGTTCAGTGAACTCTGATTCTGTGTTTATTTTATCAACGAAATTTCTTTCTTTCTCATCAATGGGTTCGATGTCAAATGGTTTATTAAATGTAATTTTCACAGGGTTATCTTTTACATTGGTTATCATTATGATAGCATGGAAGTTAATGACACTTACTACAGCTTCTGGAATTTGAGCACCTTCGAAGTTAGTATAATGCAAAATGCCGATTCCGCTTTCTTCGGTCACTTAGATTTTAATTGTTTTTGTAACCCGAGGAGGAATGATAGTTTCAGATGGTTCAAATTGTTTTTGATTAGGTTGGGTCAATTACTTATTTTGAAAATGTAGTGGTATGATACATTGGTTTGTTTCCAAAGTTAGGTTTTTTAAATTGATATTAGCATATATGTTTTTAAAAAAATCAATTCCAAAAAATCCATCGAATTTTTCGGAGAAATCGAATAAGTAGAACTTATGATTCCCTAGTGTATTAAATGAGGGAAAAATTGGTATTTTAATAACTTCGTTATGGATAGTGTAGCGTGGGCTGATTTTACCGAGAATAATTCGTGTGAAATGCATTGTGGGTAAATTTGATGGGCTAGTTGTGGATTTATAAAACTTTTTGCGCTACCGGTGTCTAATAGGAAAGTTGCATTTAATTCTGGAATATGAATCATTGGTAGTTCCGAATTATTGTAATTGTTTACATTAATGATGTTATGTTCGTTGAATTTTGAGTTTTCGGAAAATCCTGGACTTTGTTAGTATCATCATAATTTGGGTCGTAGTTAGACTCATAATTGGAATGAAATTCCGACATATTCTGATGATAATCAAGATGTGTTGGTTCTTGGTATTCATTATATTCGTATGGGCATTCGTTCATCATGTCATTTAGTTCTCTATTTGAGAAGGAA